AATGAACGCTTTAGTAGACAATTTTTAAACAATAGAAGTCTTTCCTGGTACTAGATTCTGTACAGCATTATAAGACCCCACCAACACATAAACGTTAGGTAAACGTTTAAAAATCGTTTTTCGTTCGTAAACCTGCCGAATGGTTTTTTTCTCTAACGATAAAAACGTCCTGTGTGGAGACTAAGTCTAAAAACGCCGCGTGAACGTTTTAGAAACGTTTAGATCCGAACTGTATACCTCCTGTTCTCCCCGCATAGAGAGCGTAAGACTCGCAAGCAATATCGTCCAGTATCATTTTGGGCTTGGGTATCATTTCATCTATTTAACCTATACGCATACGTTTTTCTTGAGTCAACTGAATTGAAGTGCAGAGTCTGTGTATTTTCGACGACGAGGAGGAGAGCGTGAAAGTGGCCTCCTTCCTCGTCCGTTTGTTGTGTCGCTGCGTGCATATCGCGAATAATAAGATAATAAAAAGTCATTCGTGAAAGTGTCGTCCGCGGTTTCGCGCTGCTTCTCTCGGCCAGTCTCCATCTCCGTCCACTCTTTCCGCGCTCATCATCCGTTCCTACGTTCCTTTCCTGCTTCCTTTTCCACCTCTGTCCGTCAGCTGAACGTCCGCATCGTGGCGAAAACGGTGTGAAAGTGATCAGAGAAGAAAAGAAGGAGAGAGAGAGAGAGAGAGAGAGAGAGAGAGAGAGAGAGAGAGAGAGAGAGAGAGAGAGAGAGAGAGCGAGCAAGGAGAATCGATGTGCTTTGGAAGCCTCAATAATGAATGGTAAGTGTTATATTTTTGTATTATTTTGCCTTTTTTACCTACTTGTATGTATACCTATGTTTGAAGTAACGTATTTGATAATAATTTAAATAACATGATATTTGATGTAACATGATAATTTGTATTACAATTTTATATTATTTTTCTGAGGCTAATCCTTAAGATAATTAATATCTTACATGCAATATCTTAAAAAGGTTATGATGGTTTAATTCTATTATTTTTATTATATTATAAATCTCTAAAGGCTATATACATATATTACATTTGTCGTACGACAAATGTAATATTGGCCTATAAAAATCAAAGTTTCGATTTATAAATTTTTTACACATTTTTATATGATCTTTTTTTATTTAGTATTTTGATATTTAAAGTATTTTTAATTAAATAAAGGCTATAATGTTATTTCAGTTTTATTTTTTCACTCTGTACCCCGGTTATTTTTACTATGACATATCGTTTTCTGTACTTTTTGGCCGAGAGCTAAATCAAATTTCTTTTAACAGTATTGTATTTTACGAAATGACCGAGTTCCACAAACGATTTATCGGGGAGCGAAGGCTAAGAAGATACGCCAAAGCTGAAGCTGAGAAGGTATTCGCTCATATATTAGAAGATGATGAGGACATTTTAAACGCGATTACAGCAGATAGTATTATAAATTCACATGAGACTCAAGATATCTCTCATGATTCCATTGATAATATTAGTGAATCTGCACATAGCAATAAAAATTTACAGCTTACAAGACAAATAAATGATGATAACAATAGTGAATATGTTTATATGAGACATGATCTGTTAGCAAGTATTGAATCAGATAGTAACTCAAGTGATGAAGATGGAGAAGACAATGATGAGGATGAGCAAGTGAAATTCAGGCAATGGCTAAGAGAATGGAATTTAAAACACAATATTACAGTGGAAACGTGCAGAGAGCTTCTTGCAAAACTAAAACCATATTATCCAGACTTGCCCTTAGATCCGCGGACTCTTAATAAGACGCCTAGAGTAACATCAATTGTAGAATTCGGTAACGGTTCCTATGTCCATGTTGGATTAATACCAGGACTTGAAAGACGTACGCCTACAAAATTGTAGACTAAAAAATTTTGGTACAAACAAAATAGGTTTATGTTAATGTTGATGGAATAAATATGACCAAAAGGTACCTGTTATTCTTTTGATTAAATCATGTTCAGCACTTTTTTAATTTATTTTAGGATAATGTTAAATTTCACCTCTTTCATGAAAAAGGGACTTCCACAAAAAGACGAAAATCAAACAAGCCGGGTCAAATTGTTGAAAATAAACGTAGAAAAAAAAATATTGCTCTGAATGATCAACACGACCAATCTGGTATTTAATTTTATTTTTGCATTGTAATACTGCAATCTATGTGATATATGTGGTTTTGTATCTGAGATTCTCGCATTAATGCTTTGTAATTTCTAGATAAAAGCTTTGAAGAAATGTCTATGACAGAGTTTGTCTCAAGGATTAATAGTACAAAATAGAGCAAAACTGGAACAGGTGTGTTTTTTATATAGAGAGTGAGATTACAGACAAGTAATATGAATCTTTACATTTTAATTTGGTTTTTCACAGCGAGTTCAGAAGCTGACAAACACAGAAGTCTGGAGAACATAACTGAAGAGGAAGAACCAAATGAGAACGATCCAGTTCAAACAGATACAGCCGCCGACACAGATGGAAGAAGAACAGGCGTCATAGGTACAATTTACTATATTCATGAGTACAATATTATTTGTATAGTTTGATGAATATTAAATTTAATACATTTCTTGGTTTTCAGCACTTTTGAAACAAATGTATGAAAAAACTAAAAAAATAGAACAAAGGCAGACAAACTTGGAAAACAATATCGAGGAGATTAAGCAACTTCTACTTTCTAGAACAGAGACTTTGACTCATCCTAAAGATTTACCAAAGCTGCCTCTACAAGATTATGCTGATTGAAAAAAATAAATCGAGAAGAGTCACAGAAAGACTATGTTGTAAGTATAAAGAAGTTATTAATTATTCAGTATTCTCTGCTTTTTATTAATATTGTCATATCTTTTTTAGATCAAGAAACTGTGTCTAGCTGCTAGAGGGACCAGTGATAAAGAATGCCAAGCGAGTGATGGAGAAATTAATGTCCAATCATGTTGGTACCTTTTACAGTTGGCAGGGAAGTAGCGGAAAAAAAGATTCATTTAAAAACAGTTATGATGGAGACTGTAAGACGTAAGTATCTTTTAATGCTGTTATATTTATATTCACTCTACTCGTGCCACAAAAACTGTTTTTATCTTCCGCAGTTGCAATAAAAAAACTTCGTCATGATGTGGATATGGGTACTGCTAAAGACGCAATAAAAAACTGGCTCAAATCAAGAAAATTTGCCAAGAATAATGCTATTCTCTTAATATTAAATAATGTGAAAAAAAAATTTTGTGTTTATTTTATTTTTAAGATTTGTAATAAGTCTTAAATAAAAAACGTCTAGTTTTATATATATGTATATATATGTTTGGCAAGCATCACATCAAATCAAACAAACTGTCTCAGTAAACAATTTTTAAAATAAAAAAGTTTAAGATTACCTTTTTGTGTCTTAAAAAATTTTGACTGAGACAGTCTTATTTGATACGATGTGATTCTAGCTTATATTTTATTTTCCGTGAAACACGTTTTCGAGAAACGTTTCACTAACGTTTTGTGAGAACGTTTATCACAAACGTTGAGCAAACGTTAGGCAAACGTTTAACCAGGTGGACATTTGCACCTTTTATGAACGTTAAGGTTCGAACGTTTCTGAAACGCTTAAATAACGTTTATGTGTTGGTGGGGTTGAATATTAAAATTAATTTAACTTTAATTTAAAACATTGTTTCTAATATTTCTCGAAGAAAAATTTAAAATCTCCTTTCTTATTTGTGTATGTAGATTTTAACTCCACTTGATAGTTACAGAGTCTAACCAACTGTACTTTGTTGGCGTGATCAAGAAATTGGTTGTTTAAAATATAGGAAATGTTTCACGGGGTTAATTTAACCGAACTTTTTGCTGTCTCAACAAATTATATTTTGTTCCGTGTAATTAAACATTTATTATATTAAGCTTAGCAATATAACAGTTAATTTATTATTATAGGTATGCAAAAGAAAATGTTGACTATAATGAATGGTTTATCAAAGAAGCAAGATATCATGATAGCAAAAATGGGTTGGATGGAAAAGAATGGTATTAAGCATAGACATAATGTAATTGATGCTGCTGTGATAGAAACAATGACAAAATATTTCCCTATCAATGATGAAAATAAAACCTTTGCTGCAGTTGAAGAAAAATTGAAGATAGAACGAAAATTTTTTAATAACGTGGTAATATTTCAAAACATGCATAAATAATTTTTACTTTATTTACTACATTATATTATTTGTAACATTCTTACTAACTCACATTATCATTCACCCCTACTCACTCTCCTATCCCTAAATACTAAAATACACTTCATACATCCTAACATACCTACCTAAATATTTTATTGTTCATGTACATATAAGGTATTCAGAATTTTAATTATAATTTATTTTTTTTAGTTTTCTTTTACTAACATATATATATATATGTATATATATATATATATATATACAGGGTGTCCGAAAAATTGCCTACTCCACTTCGGGAGGTGATTCGAGACCCAAAAACAAGCAAAAAAGTTCATACAAACATAGGTCCGGAAATGAGCCGTTTTCGAGTTATAGCCACTTTTATGTTCAAAAATCGTAATTTAAAATCCGCTTGACATCCCTCTTTCTTAATTATTTCTTAAATTAAAAATTTTTATTTTTAAATATCAGCTAATTCATTAAAACTTAAACGATTTATTGATGTATAATACCTACAAAATTAATAAATTTTATAGAACATATATATGTTCTATAAAATTTATTAATTTTGTAGGTATTATACATGAAAAGCAAAGGTGGCAATACGTCTCACGACTTAATTTACAATATTTTATCCAGCATAATAACAAATTCTGCAGCCTCGAACTACAGCTTTTATGGACAAAAACATAAGAAAATTTTTTCTGATCTTGCCTTATGCAGTTGCGTTTATCGTAAGTTCTATTTAAGTCAGATAAAGCAAGCTTTATAATACCTAAATAAATAATAGTTTAAATCAACCAAGTGATTGAACAGATCATTATTGTATTTTCTTAAATATAAGGCTTTTAAGTTTTTAATGCAATAAAATAATAATATCTTTTAGTTTTTAAAACTTGAGAATTACATTATTGTAAAAGTAATAAAATATAGTGTTTTTATCCTTTTTGCAGATTTCGTTTATTAGGTATTCATCACTGGTCGGTTTGTGCTACTAGTATCACTATAAATGTTACAACGTTCGTATTTATAACAAGTATTATTTTCATGTATGTAGATGGTGTAAAACTACAATTTCCTGATGTTAGAGAAGAAGATATCAAACATAATAGCATTAAAAGATGGCTTCAAGTTCAAAGACGAGATTGCTCCGTGCTCAAACGTAATTATGAACAACACTTTGTACTCTCAGTAAATATTATAACAGTATAAATATTATTATAACTACTTTCTTTACGGAAAATCGAGTTTAAAGGGAAAATTCTTATATTTTAACTATTTCAACTGTTTATTAAAGATATTTGCAATCTTTGTGTTTGTATAAATAATTTTTTATCCTCTATTAAAAATCGTAACATTTTAGGTTGTTATAGTATTGTTCTAGAGGTGTTTACTTTATATACTAGTTATTTTATTTTTTAATATTTATCAAAATTGTCTAATTTTTCAGGCAAACTTAAAAAAGAAAAATATTTCAACCGATAGTATCACCTGACGAAAATGTAGATGATCCAGATGAAGTTTAAATTCAAGAAAGAATTTATAGGGTAAAGTGCCCAAATGCCAT